CTGTCTAATTCATCATTGCACACAACGGAGCCTGATAATGATTTACAGAAAGTAATTGACCTTCAGTTGCAAGATCCCGTACACTTAGGGGGAACTATTTGCCAGTTAGGCTCAGCATCTATGCTTCGATTCACTTTAAAAGTGCATGGACAGCCTGTAATTTCGGTAGTAGATACCGCAGCAGAAGTTACAATCATTTCTGACAAAGTTTATGAATCTCTTAGCAAAAAACCACCCATGAAAAGAAAAGCAACAATGCATGCAGCAGGGCGTGGTATGCACATGGATGCCTTTGTAGTGGGACCAGTTGAATTACAAATTGGTGAAAGAACATATCGGACAGATATTTATGTTGCGCCTATTGATAATGACATGCTATTAGGACTTGATTTTCTAGTCAAAGCAAAAGTAATTTTAGACTGCAGAAAATTAATCTTCTTCATCAATGGAGAGGCACTACCTATGGTACATGGACATATTGGACTGGTACCGCCTGTGAACGTTATAGCAAGAGTAGCTAAAATAACCGTTCCACATAGAACAGTCATACCTCCTAATTCAGTCGTACAATTAGAGTCAGATTTGTCAGCGGAATTAACTGATTTTATAGTTGAACCTAATAAAGAGATAGATTTATTAATCCCACGTGGTTATTACAACGCTAGTTCTTTGCCATGTGTCAGTTTACTTAATGTAACCAACAACAAGATAGTTTTGCAAAAGGGAACTCTTTTAGGCGAAGCAATTGAAGCTGACGTTGTTGAAACGGGGCCAGCCCCGTCAGTAGCAACAACTGGATTAGCCAGAGTTAACAATACACTACCGGAACAGTTGCAGAACATATTGGATAAATCCAGTACACTTGCTGAAGACCAAAAGTCCAAAGTTGCAAATTTACTTCATGAATTTGCTGATGTTTTTGCACTAGATGATTTTGACTTGGGAACATTTAACCACATTGAACACGAGATTGATACAGGCGATGCGCGCACTATCAAACAACGAATAAGAAGAACACCTATGTGTTTTGCACACGAAGAAGAAAGCCATTTAAAGAAAATGTTAGATGCAGGTATAATAGAACCATCTATATCAGAATGGGCATCTGCCCCAGTACTTGTGCGCAAGCGCGATGGCAACGTGCGCTGGTGCATTGATTACCGGAAGTTGAATTCCGTGACGAAAAAAGATGTCTATCCGCTTCCCTTGATAGACGAATGTTTGGACACTTTAGCGGAAAACGAATGGTTTTCAAAATTGGACGCTAATAGTGCATATTATCAGATTAAAGTGAAAGAATCAGACAAGGAAAAGACCGCCTTCATCACTAAATATGGTTTATTCCACTTTGTCCGAATGAGTTTTGGACTTTGCAATGCCCCTGGAACATATTCACGAGTAATGAATCTCGTTCTCAGAGGTTTAACATGGAATGTTGTACTCGCCTTCCTGGACGATATTCTAGTAATGGGAAAGACATTTGAAGACCATTTACAGAATTTGAGATCAGTTTTTGAACGTTTCAGAGAGTATGGGCTCAAATTGAAACCCAAGAAATGTGATTTCTTTAAAAAGGAAATAGACTTTTTAGGCAGAACAATCAATAGAGATGGTATGGCAATTGGCAGTGAATATGTTGAAGTTGTTAAGAAATGGAAAGTACCTACGACAACAAGAGAGGTTGAACAATTTCTTGGCTTTGCTAATTATCATAGAACTTTCATTAAGAATTTTGCAGAATTATCCTACCCTTTGTATCAATTGACCGGTAAGAAACCGTACAAATGGGGAGATTCAGAGCTAGAGGCTTTTGACAAACTTGTAGAGGCATTGACAACAACTCCGTTATTGGCATTACCCAACAGTAAAGATCCGTTTATTTTGGACACAGATGCTTCCAATTTCGCAATTGGCGCAGAGTTAATACAAGTCCAAGATGGTGTAGAGCGTCCCGTTGCCTACGGAAGTTTTTCATTAACCCATGAGCAAAAACGATACTGCACGACACGGAAAGAATTGCTTGCAGTAGTGAAATTCACCAGACATTATAGACATTACCTTTTAGGAAGAGAGTTTATAGTCCGTACAGACCATAGTAGTTTAACGTGGTTATTGCACTTTAAAGAGCCACAAGGACAACTAGCTCGATGGTTAGAGGAGCTAAGCCAGTATCACATGACAGTAAAGCACAGGCCAGGTAAAAGACACCAAAATGCGGACGCATTATCACGTCTGCCAGATTTAGCCTGTTCACAGAATAGATTAGCAGCTGGAAACGTGCTAAAACACAATCTACCCTGTGGAGCATGCGATTATTGTACTCGTGCTCACCAAAGTTGGCTTGGTTTTCAAGAAGACGTAGATAACGTTATTCCCTTAGCTTCGCATCAGGACTGTAAAAGTTATGATCAAACACACAATACAGGACCACTTACAATACTACCGAGTTCTTTGATTTCTGAGAACAAATTAATGAAACAGGACAATGCACAACATACAAATGTGATTATAAAGGACAATGCTAGACCAGATAGTTCAATACTAGTATCCCAAGACGGGGACCAGAACGTGACAAGTCACGTGAATGAGAATTTAGGTACATCTCCGGTCCAGCAACAAGTATTTGACAGTACCAATCAAGATCCAGTAAGCCAGAACCAAAATGTTTGTCACAGTTCAGTTGAAATAGTCACTACACCACTTGGTATGTCAGTTTACGCGACATATTTGGACCTTCCAAATGTAAATGTCATTACTGAGACAGGTATAGAAGCTAGTACTTATTCACCAGAGCAATTACGAGATTATCAGTCTAAAGACCCAGACTTGGAGTTAATACTGGTATGGTTCAGGAACAAAACAGAACCATCAGAGGCTACAATATTCAGATGCAGTCCAATAGCTAAGAAATATTGGATAAACAAAGATATGTTCTATTTAGATGATAATGGAATATTGAGAAATTTGGACAAGAAAGACAGAACACCAAGACTTGTGGTACCAAGAGATCTTGTTGAACAAGTGATATCATTATGTCATGATATTCCTGCTGCAGGTCACCAAGGTATGAGAATCAAGGCGAAATATCAATGGTATGGTATGACACAACGAATAAGAGACTTTGTCAAAACATGCAGTACATGCAATTTACACAAGAAGCCAAACAGGAAGGCTAAATGTCCGCTCACCCAGTTTCATGCAGGTGCACCAATGGAGCGTGTCCACTTAGATTTTCTAGGACTACTGCCAGAGACGAAATTTGGGAATGCCATGGTACTAGTTATGGTTGATCAGTTTTCCAAATGGATGGAATGTATTCCGTTACCAGCACAAACTGCAGAACATACGGCAAGAGCTGCTGTGAACGAGTTTTTCTCTCGTTTTGGATTCCCATTTCAGGTTTTTACAGACCAAGGACGCAATTTTGAAAGCAAGCTTTTCAAATCCATTTGTGAAATCTTGCAAATGCACAAAGCAAGAACTACTCCGTACAGACCATCCTCAAACGGACAAGCAGAACGTTGCAACAGAACCTTGATGGACGCCGTCCGTTGCTTCGTGTCTAAACAACAAGACAATTGGGATGAACATTTGGCACAGTTGGCAGGAGCTGTTCGATCGTCGGTGAACAGAAGTACTGGTTTTACGCCAAACATGCTGATGCTTGGGAGAGAGGTTAACCAGCCTGTTGATTTATTGTACAGCGTACCTGGTGCTAAAACAGACGAGTCACAAGATGAGTATGTAATAAGACTCCGAGATGCCATAACATCTGCACATGAAATAGCGCGCAACACGCTAAAAACTACACAGAATACCATGAAACGTGATTATGATGTACGTATCCTGGAGAGAGAATACAAAATAGGAGATTTAGTTTATGTTTTAGACACGGCAAAAATTAAAGGTAGGGCGAAGAAATTGGACCCACCTTGGAAAGGTCCAGGACTTGTATGTGCCAAATTATCTTCGTATGTGTACAAGATAAAATTACAAAAAACTGTACTGACAATAAATCATGACCGTTTAAAGCCATGTAAAGACAGAAAAGTACCACCCTGGTTAAAACAGTGCCAGCATCGGTTACAGGACGGTGAAGATGTAACCAAGGCGATTAACCCAGACTTACACTGTTTGTGCAGAAAACCAGATGATGGACTGTTTATGATACAGTGTGATTTCTGCGATGAGTGGTACCATGGAGCTTGTATAGATGTGACACCAGAGCTGGCTGACACTATGGTAAAGTTCAGTTGTCCACGGTGCCAGGACTCTAGTACCGCAAGGTAATTTAAAATATAAGACAGGATACTATGATGTACATATAGAGCAGAAGGAAATCAGTTGTAAATTTTGATTGGACATTACAGTGAAGATTGTGTGTAATATATATATATCAAGGAATGATATGTTAGTTTTAAAATAACTCCGCAGAGCGAAAACGGAGCAATTGTGGAATTTTCAAATATATGTATGTTGTTAAAATGTCAACATTGGAAAATATATATAAATATATATTTGGAGATTTATTTTTTTATCCCCGTGGTGCGACCAGACGGGGTGGACTAAAAAGTGATAGTGAATATTCGAATAGGAAGTAAACTCACTCCTTTCAAAGTGGGGGGGAGTGTTGTGTAATATGGTATAATGGACGTGACATTACTATGTAGACAGTACGGTAGTTAGATATACCGCGTAGCCCGGTTCCCGGAATGATCCATGGTAAACTACCCAGCTCAGGATATCAGTAATATCAAATACATTGTAACCTAGTTAGCAGAGTATCTAAGGCACCGGACACTGTTCAGGGGATGTCTAAACAGGTTTATTCGAATCCCGCTAATGAAACGATACCCAGGGAATTGTATACAAATGCAACAATGTAGTTCTAGCATTGATACACTAAATTCAACTAAAACTTGTTTACATACAGATATGTTTATACATTTGTCGTCATAACTTCAGCTCGTCTTTTCTTTATGATTTTTAAGATGACAAACCTGGTTTACTGTACACAGCATACATCCCTGAATCATTGTCGTCTACACATAAACCATTGTCATCATTCTCGCATTGTTTTGACTCACAATCAGGATCAGAATCGCCATTATCTGGCGGAAGACGTTGTAGACAAGCACATCGTCCTTGCTATCACATAAAAACATAGTTTATTCAGGAGAATGTGAAGAAATAATTTGTTATCAAGTTTCAATAGATAACATTTTTTCATGAAAAATTGACGACATACCTTATACATTTATAAGTATTTCAGTTATCATATTCTTTCCAAATAGAAGCACACAACACTTAAATAGCCTTAAGCTTATACCAAGAAAATGTCACAGTTTTCTGTTTAAAAAGGTTCAAATACATGTACAGTAGAACCTTGAAAAGTTGAAGTCGAAGGATCCTAACAAAACTATTCAAAAACTTATCCGAGCTCTGAAATAACCGGGGTTGCGAGTTAGATCATATTTTCCACCTTCAATACCTTACATGTATTGCCTTTATGATACTGGTATGTTAAGGTTGAACGTGCTTTTTACTCCAATCTATCTGCATCAATAGTAAATGTATTTTTAAAGTTACAATGGCTTTTTGTATTTTGCTTTAGATGAATGCGGTATCTTTGAAAAGTTTCAGAGCACAAAAGGCTGTAATATGATATTTACCTGAAGACCTATGGAATTATATTTGGTACAAATATGCAAACATTCTTTTATCTGTTGTCCTGATGTAACATATTCGGGAGTTCCAGCAATTTCATTTGTTACTCGTGAACACCCTAAAATAGAAATAATATGGTATGTTGTTTCTTTTTTTTTTCTATTATGAAGACTTAATATTACATGTCTTTGCAAGCTAATATTTCTTTATTGTCTTTCATAAAATCAACAGCCGACACTTAGGCATTCTTATAGTCCTAATTCTCTATTTTATTGCCGTTTTCTATCACCGCGGAAGGTTTTCAGCAAAAGTCTAGATGAACTTTATATGTTTTTTATTTATCATATGCTTAGCATTAATATTATAGTTTTTGCATATGTGTAACGAGCGGAAGTAAACTAGCCACAAATTTACACTCAGGCTGGTAACCTATATCAGCCCTATGATTATAAAAGCTTTATCAAACCCCTATTCTGCATTACGTCATGTCAAGTGAAAAGACATGAGATATATGATAAAATGTATATGATGTGGCTTTTTCAAAATCATACATCTTAACAAAATTAACCCTCAACCAATACAATCCTTCGAGCAGAGCTCTTTTGGATTATATTGTTGTCAAGGGTTGATATAGATGCGATATTGAAAAAAAAAGCCACACAATATTCTCTACTTAATGAAGATTGAAGAATATATAGCGCCGATATACCAGTATTCTCTCTAGAACGTACCCGAAAGCGTTACTGTAATATTGAACACTATACATTCAAATGTACCTAAATATTCTATCCATGGCGAATAAGTAACTGTAGCATCTGTCCACAATTCCTGATCAATGCTGCTTGATATGTTTACGTAGTTCTCTTGTCCAATCATAGTGCAATTGTTCTTGGCCTCTGTCCATGTAAAGCTGTTTCTAGTTATGAATGCATTATCTTTTTCTCCTGTAAGTGACATCATTTTTTTTAAATAATTTTCACTAAATACGTTCACCCTATACATTCTTTCTTATGCTTGCTTAAAGCTATCAAAATAATGTTTTAATTTTTCTCTAAGGAATATCAAAACTTTTAAAACGTCACATCATAAATGTCAATGAAAGTGTAAGTTTGCGGTAACAGAAATTTATAAAGTTAAAAAACTTTCAAGCCTGAACCATCACTAGTACATTCATTTTTAAGATTTTTTTTTGTAGACGAGAGATACCGTGAGCAGGAAAAGATACTATAACTCATAAATGTATTTTACATGTTTCAAGTGTATACTAGTACCCATTTTTTCCATTGGTATTTACTTTCAATATTTCCAAATACATTAGCAATCCACTTATTTCTAATTCTTGTGATATGTTTTTTTTTCTACGTTCTAATGTTAACACGAAGTATTGTAATGGTTGCCCGTTATACTCTTCTTCTTGGAATTTTTACATTTGATATGATTTTATGCTCAACATTTAATTACTTTATTAACCTAATCTTCTTTAATACAAAAAGATTATCTTGATTTTCTTAAAATTGAAAGAAACAAGGAAGGAAGAATCTTAAAATATTATAAACATATAACAAGTGAAATAATTTTGTGAATCATTCTTGTTTTATTTTTAATTTCGAATCCCCTGTTTGCCAATCTTGGCTTATGTTTCTCTTTTCTTTTTGATAAATGTAATTTCAACTTATTGCTATACATGTTGATTATGATAAATGAAATGAATTCTAACGATAGATTTCGCGAAAGAAATTACTTTAAATATGATAAAAAGAGAGAACAATGTAACTTACCTTTAGAACAAAATACATTTATACAGAAACAAATTATCAAAAGATTTAGAATCATGTTCATACTGCAGTTGCCCTCCCAAATATCTTATCAATAATACATGTATGTATTTCCTTGTGTTTATTAAGTGTTTATAAATTTTAAAGAAATCATAAATAAAATGTTTGTGAGTGCTTGTTTCAACCGCAGATATTGGTTTAAATACTCGAAATATAGAGCTCGTTTCCGTTTTTCCGCTAAAGATGCAATTTTACACCAATAAGTATGTATAAACAATAACTAACTAAATAAGGTCTTATTCCCTAAGGATATCAAAGTCAATTTATTTTGAGGCCATGTGATATTGTCTTTTTTCCGTGAAAACATTGTCATTCATGCATCAGTATAGAAGAAATACCACCATGTACATGTAGCTAACTACCGAAATACTAACTTATTCCCTAAGGACATCATAAAACTACTTTGAGATCATGGAATTTTGTCTTCTTCCTTAAATACCCGTTGGTTTTCAAATAAGTCGTTTAAAAACATATTCTAAATATTAAGTGTTTTGTTTTAATTTTACAATTGTAGCCCTGCACCAACGTGATGGCTAGATACAATGATTTTATAACGTTAAAACGTTTTGTTTACTGTTAAAGCTGAACTATTTGAGTGTGTACTCTGTGCATAAAAGTTAAGTTTGCTGTCTGGTATGAACCATGCATTAATCTTTATAACTAAAACGAACTGTACCAAACAGTTTTTCTCTCTCAGTTATCCTTTATGTACCTGTCACGTAATTTGATTGGCTAATTACGATATCAGAGGTACTTTAGGTGTAACGGTATACACGTTGCAAACAAGCAGACATTTACGTTTCATCATTATTTGTTCACACTAAAATATCTTTTCTGTAATCTAACTATCAATTGACATCAGCCAATGAAATGTCAGCCTTTAAATTCTTGAAGGTGTATATTAATCCGACAAAACCAGAGGATCCCGAAAGGTCTTTTAAAACAGAAAGTAGAACGAAATGTTTTCAGAAGCTTGGACACAGGATCTGTATTTTGATGAGATAAAATACTGGCTAGATACAATTTTTTAAAGTTAATATGTCTGTTTATCTTAAATTTTAATTTTCTTAAGACTCTTTAACTGTCTGGTACATGAAACATTTTAGCAATATGTGTTATGGTTTTTTCCTAAAATAAAATTCTGATCCCCAATTTGATAAAAAAAAAATATTCTGATCAAGCAGATATAAAAAAATAATATTCTGAATCCAGATTTTCCCCATACCTTATAGTGTTAAATTTTGAAAAAAATAATTTGATTGATAGCGTCGAAAAACTAAATAAAAAATTTCTGACTCAGAAAAAAAAACCATATTCCCCCCTTGAAGTGGTTGCTCCCTTATGCTTTTGAAAAATAACAGAATACGAAGCAATCGAATTCTTTCCTTTCAAAAGAATTTAATATAGTGCTGTAAAGTTCAATTAGTTGATGTACAGCTGAATATTTGGTTAAATCCTGATTGATACACACATATATATATATACATGACAAGTTCCTATATATATATGGTAATGAATATGTTTAGGACTATACCAAAGGTTTCAAGAATCATAGTTCAAATGCTTTTTCGTTTTGTTTATATGTTGACATAAAGAAAGAATTTAAGCAGCGCAATATTGTGAATGTTAGCGGTTAGCAGAAAAGAAAGGGAGACTCTCAGAACAAATTCGGTCAGCACCGAGTCAATTTTACACAAGTAATCATTACTCCCAAATTTGCCTATTTATGGTGTATTCTCGTTTAACTTGCGAATTGTGGATGATCGATATTTCATGCAAAAACGGAAATTTTAAAACTAAAATTATAGACTTAAATATAGTAATGAATGGTAACGTTTATTATACATAGAAAACGTTTAAAACCTGTTTACATGAAATTTAAACTGCCAAGTGTTTTAATTGGTTTTCTACTTGTACATTACAGGAAAATATAGAATTATGTACTTTAAGTGTAGGTCGTTAAACTTCCGCGTCACGTGTTTATCAAACACGTCATAATTTATCCAGTATATGAAAGAAAACAGCTGGTTCAGTAACTTAGTGCGACATTTATTTCATCATTATATAGCTGACAATAATGACTTCGTCATTTAATCTTTTAGACCGTTTTCTTCTGAAGTTCTATGGCAAACAGAAAAAAAAAGTATCTTACTATATAAAACTTGTCAGAAAGATTTGTTTAAGACTTAAAGTAGATGATAAGTGTTTTGACTCTGGTATCAATATGGGGTTAATGTAATTATATGAATATATGTGGTTCACATTGTAACTTGTTGCAAATAAGTATACAATATTCTCTTGGGGAATCTCCGAATCGTTTTCTAATGGCTTCTAATGATTTTTTTTTAAATTGAAAACTTTAATACCAATTGGTTGACCAATACTGTCTATAGCGGAGTGCATTCTTTTCATTTTTAGGGAAACGGTAGTATTTATTCTTCCATAGGCGGCAATACTAACATTTTTTATAATGAAAACCTGAATAAAACAGTTATGTGTGGTATTAATACTTTATCATTCTGTTTTAGAAATTGAAGTCAAATGGTAGCATGACCAACGTCGAACGGGGCTTGTTTATGGTATCCATGACCACCGTTATTTACATCAAATTTATTAAAATTTGGAAGTCTAATAATTCTCAAGAAAATATTTCAATGTGTTTCAAGATTTATATTGTAAATATACACACTGCAGTTATTCATACATAAATAAAAATATAAATTATATATGAGGGGGTAGGAGGGGTCCTGATCCCGAAAGCCCGGACTTGAAAACATGGAATCCCGAGGTCCCGAATTTAAAAAAATTTAAATCCTGACATCCCGAAATTCGAAAAAAGAATTCCCGGATCCCGAAAGGATCAATCCCGAAATTCCGAGCTTAAAAACACCCGATCCCGGAGTCCCGATAAAGGTTCCACCCCCCTCTTAAATCCAATCACATGCTCCAAAGTTTACTTCCTTCACCTGCCTTGGGTACTAAAAGCCAACCTTATAATATTCTTGAAAAAAGGTATTACAACTACTTTCCCTTTACATTGAAACATACATATAATAAATAATACAGTAAATTAATTTAAAATATCACGCCGAAATGCCTCATCTTATAAAATCACACTTATCTTGGGAGGGGCGCATTGCATTTGTGCCAATTTTGGAAAAATCCAATATTTCATTTGCGCCATAGGGTTGTATTTCATTTACGCCAAAAATAAATACTGCTTTTGGGCCAATTTACAGGTAAAATATAACGGAAACGTTTAAATATAAGTTGTAACCTGAATACAAGTAAGGCTCGTATATAAGAAAAGTTGCGGAGTATCCCCCTCACTGGGTAAATAAATTAGTTCACACTTATTTCTCATACAAAACTGAATCACTGAAATGTATAAAATTGTATAGTGTTCACATGATGAATGTTATATAAGATGAATATGTTATATCATGCTATCAAAACTGTGTTTTAAATAAACTCATCATAGATACCAGGATTGAACATTATTATTACAAGTCTCTTCACTACAGATCTATTATTTATACTATTTACCTGTATTTTTGGTGCAAATGAAATGTATTATTTTGTCGCATATGAAGTATCGTATGTGAAAAGACAGATTATTTCTTCTTCTTCCTTTCTAAGGACTGGATTCCTATTGGAATGTAATTAGTCCACTAGACGGAGAATGAGACAGCAATTATCCTCTAACTACTTAGAGATAAAACGTTCCGAGATATATACAATTAAAACTATGTACATTTGGCTGCTGTCTATGGTGTTGATTTCTTGGGTGCACTATAGTTGGATAGTGCACACAAGAACCCCTCTATTGTCAGAGCTTCCGTAGTAGCTGTTGGAAGGTGGTTCCACTCTTGTATAGCCCGAGGGAAGTATGAGTACTTATAAACTCTCTGGTTTGCCGGTGGTTGGTATAGACGTTGTTTGCCTCTAGTACGTCGATCGTTTGGGCGTAAGATGTAACTGGTATCATTGTCCACTAGCCCATGCTGGATCTTGTAAAGCATGACGAGTCGATGGTTACTTCGTCTGGAAGGTTGTGGTTCCCATCCTAGTGATACATCCAGGAATTTTGTCTGTATAGTTGTTTGTTACAAACGTAGCGGCCCTCCTTTGTACTGGTCTTGCTCTAGTCGATTTACGTCCTCGGTGGTATGAGCGTTCCAAAGTTCGTCTTATCAGTCTGACAGAGATATATAAGCTGCATTTCTTACGTTTTTAATGCATTCTCTTAAGTTTCGTCTAAGGAATCCGATCGATTTGGATGTTTTTTTTTTGGCAGTGACGTCAACATGATGTTTCCATTGTAAGTCCTCGCTGAAGTTTACTCATAGGTATTTGCTGGTTGGTACAGTATTTTGGAGCAAATGAAATGCCAATTGGCGCAAAAGCAAAGTACCGCTTGGGAGATACACGTAAATTTATTTATGTGTGTTTTCCTGAACATTTATTGTGTATGAACTGGCTCGGGCAAGTACTCAGCATTTATAAGGTTTTTGAAATTAAAATTAACATTAAGAACACAATTAACCAATCTAGCTGATTAATTAGATTTCTTCTGCAATCCCATTATATTTTGACATCGTTTAATTAACAAGATAAAAGTGTTTTCTTCAAACTGCTCAGTCAAGTGAGTCGTTCAAATGATTGATTACTTCAGATTTATATTTTATTTATGATTTATAATATTAAAAAGAATAAACATGGATGGACATACATGTATATCTTGCTTGAATTTGTGATAAACATATATAACAGGTAAGTTGATAATCAATTTTAGAACAAAAATATCTAAGACAACCCTTCAAAACCCCAGTTTTTTCTACATAAATTATACAGTACTCCCTATTGTTCTCATTCCAAGAGACAGGGAACACGTAACTATACTTTTTTTTAATCTTATAGCCGACTGATAGTTTCGACATGAAGAGACAAAGTTAAAGGTATGACATTTTTCTGTCCGTAAAATACTTTTTGGAAAGCAAGATTTTTTTAAGGAGTTTGCTACTGCAATTTAAAGCCTAATAGTTCATATTTAAAATTTCAAAACTGGCTTTAAAAGCATAAGAGTCTAAAGAGCATGTGGGTGTGGGAGGGAGTGGGCGGCGTGGCGACTAAAATTTAATTCAGGGATCACCTCGACTGTTCCTGTCGCATAAGGATTACAATCCGGCGTGACGGCGACGGCGTAATCTATTTGTATAAAGGTTTTTATTTCAGAAGGTAGAGGTCCTGGATGCTTCATACCTTGTATGCAGAAACTGTATGTTGCGAAGTTTTTGTCCATTGTCTTTTATCTCATTTTCATGTTTCAGTGACTGCTTGAAAAAAAAGTTCTAGTTTTTTTGTCATTTGAAATACTCACTTGATACATGTAAAAGTAATAGGATAACACTATTTGGTATAAGGCTTCATTTTGTCAGAATGATTTCACATGACCTGACCGCATTTTATGGATCACTGTTCAAGGTTATTGATAAGTTTACGTGGTCAAGTCCGTATATCAGATACTTCAAGCAATAGGTCAACTATATTTGCAGGGGCGGATCCAGCCATTTTTAAAAGGGGGTTCCCAACCCAAGATAAAAAAAGGGGGGGGGGGGGTTCCAACCATATGTCCCTATTCAAAAGCATTGATCGTAAAAAAAAGGGGATTCCAACCCCCGGAATCCCCCTCCCCCTGGATCCGACACTGATTTGGTGTATATGTCTGACTAACTGGTTTTCATCTTACTTTGACCTCATTTTCATGGTTTTGTGGACAATGCTTAGTTTTTTAGGTTTGGTTTTTTCTCTCAGATACTTAAAGCAATATGGCATCTTTATTTGGTGTATGGAATGATTGTAAGGTGTACAAAGTCATGTCTGTCTGGCAGGTTTCATATGACCTTGACCTCATTTTCATGGTTCATTGGTTCATTTTAATTTTTCATGGTGTTGTCAGTTTATCAGATACTATAAGCAATAGGTCAATGATATTTGGTGTATGGAATGAATATAAGGTGAACATGTCTGTCTGGCAGGGTTCATATGACCGTGACCTCATTTTTATAGTTCATTTGGCAACGTTAAGTTTTAGTTTTTCAGATACTATAAGTAATAGGACCACTGTATTTGGTGTTTGGAATGATGTTAGGTGTACATGTCTGTCGGGTATGGTTCATCTTACCTTGAACTCATTTTTCTTGATCATTGATAATGTTTAGTTTATGTAGTTCTTGTTGTAAAACCTTCATATTACAGAATTACAACATAAATTCAATCATAAGTAAAGCAGGCGAGAAATTTCAGCGTTTGCACTCTTGTCGTTTAATGATAATAATTCAAATTAGAACGTTAATTTAATGACTCTTTTAATTGTTTAATTTTTTTTTCGTTTCCGATGAAAAATTTGCTATAGCTTGATCTAAGTTGTGGATCGTTTGTAATTCTTTCCCAAGATGACTGGAAGATTGAAATTTAAGAAGATTTGGAGTGAGCGTAAACAATCTGCAGGCTTACAGCTAAACACAAGCAAGAACGCATATCGAGGTCATCATTTTTAATAATAATTCAACAATTCAGACAAATGACTTCACCGTTTATCAAGTTATAAATGGTCCTTAGCCTGGTCAAGTGGTGAATAAATTTATATAAAAAAGCCAATGAAAAGTTCTGCCGTTATCACCAAAATAAATCTAAATAGGAAAACAAAACCAACAAACAAAAAAAAAACAACAACAACAAAAGAAAAAATGGAAAGACAACACCCTGTCTAAGGACAAAAACAAAGACGGAAGACAAAGTCAGAACAATGTGTTGTTCGTTGTAACGGTTGTTTGTCTTTGTTTGACATATATGTCTTTCGGCGGAGGGTTGGTGTGGTTAATTTTACTTGTATTGGTGGATCCTGTTATTTTTGTCACATTTGCGACAAATTAAAATCCAAATAATGCATGATTACATATGATTACATATGCTACTCATCCGGCGGCGGATACGACGGCATAAAACAATTTCGATATACTTTAGATTTCAGAAGGTAGAAGACCTGCATGCTTGAAACATTGATAACAAATACTTGATGTGTATTTATTTTATGTCCGTCTGGCAGGGTTCATCTGACCCTGATATCACGGTTCATTGGTCGATGCTAAGTTTTTCGAGAGTATGTCCTTTTCTCAAATACTGTAATCAATATAGGTTAACTACATGTGGTGTATGGAATTATTGAAAGGTGGATATATCCGTCTGGCAGGGGTTATATGATCTTTACTTACTTTTATGGATCTTTGTAATGTTAAGTTTTTGTGATATCTGTGGATATTAAAACCTTAATCTAAAAGATTTTTTTCAACTAAAGATTAAATCAAGATCAATAGAGCAGGCAAGACATATCAGCGTGTACACTATTGCTACGTTTTTCTAAACAATTATGAACCCCATGTCGCTATGAGGTATTAATGATGTTCAAATTGACGCCTTTATCAGAAAAATTTAGGCATATAATTTATCTATATCTTTAATGAGACTATTTGGCATATTGTTCAAATTATTCAAAAGTTTGAAGTTCTGAAACACTTACGTTAGACACTACTAGTAATCAAAAATAAAATTTTATTTCGGTCAGACTTATGAATATCCGGATGGTGTTATTTGATAGATTTTTTTAATAAATTTCTCGCAGGTGATTTTCGAATTCAAGGAGCTAAGGGGCTTTGTGGTCATTAATGTTTTGAGTGCGATTGTTACGCCCCTGGTAATCTACCTTCTTGTCAATTATATTGAAGTTCTTTCATCTTATATGAAATCACGTTGCAATACTAGTATACAGGTCTCTTGAATGTGTAGAGGTTAAAAAACTGTGTTTGTCTTTGAAGGTTGTATATAGTACTAACCTTCGGTCGTTCATCTATGATGCTTTGATTTTAGAGAGTACCAGGCTGTCCACACGTTTTAACTTGCGATAATTCTACGGTGGATCTGTTTCAAGAAAATATGTTTGCTTCAAAACAACATAACCTCTTTTTCGCCTCTTATATCGTCCAAACCACTATGAAGAACCCTACAAACTGGATTTTTATTAATTGTTCCCTTCCAGAATATGCATGACGTGGTAAGTGGACATCAAGCCAACATCCATCAAGTAATATATACATTTTGATTCTGTGGTATTATTGTGTGGCTTTCTGATTGACGTTTACCCATTTTCCCGTTGAATTAAATGAGTAGAAACTTGTAAGAATAAAACAAAAATATATCATTTATTCTAATAATATGTCTTTAACTTCGTGGTGTCAACCTGACTGTTATCTGTAGCACTATCAAATATTAGATGCCTTCTTTGTTCCAGTCACATGATCATAGTTTAACTCATTTCTCTTTTCGCTTTGGGTCCCAGTACTACGCATGGTGTCGTAGTTGCTTTCTGTCGGATTGTGGGTCTGATTAGGTCGACAATGATCAATGTGGTCGTATGTATCGTCAGATGCAGTTGGGTGAAATCTCTGACTTGTGCTTCCTGCGTGTTGACCGGGCGGCGTGTTGGCTTCTTCATAGACAGCTTCTCTTCCGAGAATAACCATTGGTTGGTTTAGTGGCGTACCTTGTGTATTTCTCTTTCTGTAAAAATAAAATGAAAAACTTGAAGATTTTATTAGACGATAGTCGTATGCACAATTTATGAAGAATGATATAAAGGGGCAAATGATGAATGGTACATAAGGGGTTATACCGTTAAATTTGTTTATATTTTTTTGTCGCTTCATATTAAGAAAAAATACTGAAAAATGCCATCATTGAAATAAGGAACTGACATGTCCACCACACATTCCATTTGAAATTTAAGGAAAAATAAATCATATTTTACGCCTATAACATAAGATAGTTCACTGAATTGTGAAAACACATTATCCGTACGGGAAAATTGTAAACCACGTAATTGAAGAATAAAAATCTGTCATGAGGGATGCAGTTTCTTATTTTTTTCATATTTGCTTGGGTTTTTTTTGCAGCACATTTAAAACAATTAACCATTTTGATACATCAATCGGAAAAGCTAGCATCAAACTATATAAACATATGCATCAAAAATGAAAATGCATACTTTGTAGAAAAGAAACGACCGACCTTACCAGATTGATTGATTGTTGGTGTATAACGCAACCCTCGGTAATTTTGATTATATCGGATCGGACAGTTTTTATTTGTGGAGGAAACCAAAGTGCCCAGAAAGAACCACGGGCTTTCGGCAGGAAACCTGGCAAACATAGGCAATCAAGATTAGAGTTGAACTCACCTGCCATGTGCTGGGTTCAAACTCACAACGTCAGTGCGTGTGATTCTATAGATGAACTACTTCGACCAATCGGCCAACGAGGCCCCATCGGTATCGGAGCACACGAGTTCACTCAATATTAAATCTCCGTGTTGTTTTGTGTTTTGTACTGTGTGTTGTTTTGTGTTGATTATTTCAGGTTTGTCGTTTTGAGTTTTGTCTTCGAATTGTCTGTCATTCTTTGACTTTTGTTCCAGATTTTAAACCTAAAATGTGCTTCCTTTTTTGTTTAAAAGCAACATAAAGGAGATTATTATATAATAAAGGGATTTGACCACCGCAACATGTCGTGTTTTATTTGTAGGAAGAAGATGGCTATGCTTCCGCATTTCATTTGCTAATTCAATCATGGAAAAGAAATTGAAAATTATAAAAATCCCTTGACTGAACTGTATATGCAACGAACATCAGAGACATATGATACTTTAGAAATCATCAAAATTAAAATACCTTCTCATGTGAAAAGGCAGCAGAAATGGTAACAAAAGTTCATGCAAATAGGCTTTGTTTTTATGAGGTAGATGACAAAATTAATTTTGTGGTTTGAAGATGTTTATCTGTGTGTACAGTTTTTTGTTACCGTGATTCTTTCCGTATTTCTAAGATAATGTTCTAGATACGATAACTTTAGATTTTATTAGCATGCATTTGTTTCACTCTCTTTGGAGAATATAGCTTTCAAAATATGCGCAAGCTAACGGTATCGAACATGTGCCACATATGTAAGTTGCAAAGTTAACAGTTGTTGAATTTCATTGAATCGAGACTAAAGACAATCGTCGAATATACAATTAACGTCGACTCCAAATTTTAAGACGTGTATTGGCCTTACATAGATCTTCATACATTGAATTTCATACATTAATTTGTATTTGTTTGATTTAAGAGTGCAAAAAAAAAACATAACAAAAATATATGTAAGAGTCAAGAATGGGAATGACGGTTTTTACGGCCTAAAGTCCAAATATACATAGTAGGCGATATGATTAGAATATGTTTAATAGTTAATAAACTCAGTTTGTCTCTCCACAATAGATATGTCCGATTTCCGTTGCAAAATATAACCAATGCTCCGTGTTGAAGGCCGTACCTTGACCTATAATGGTTTACTTTTATAAATTGTTACTTGTATGGAAAGTTGTCTCATTAGCACTCATACCACATCTTCCTATATCTATTAGCATGCATTTTGTGTCCAGAGATACAGGGACGCGTATACATGTGTGGCTTAAACAAATCAGTACTAATCTGAACACATCGTTATACCTTTATATAAAAAAAGTAAATAAAAAGTGGACACAAGCGGATACAGTGCTATTTCTATATAAAACTTTAAGAAGCAGGGGGCTACAGAAGAAGGTTGTCTTACTGCGCATCGTTTTAATGTTCAAGAAAACCACTTTCTATGAGTTATATTTGATTCGTATTGTCTACTACTTTCTGGGTATGAATGCAATGAATGGACAGACGAACGAACGGACGGATGGACCAATTCACCTATCACGTCTATATACCGTCAAATTCAGAGAGCAGAGTTTATAGTGAATCTAAGGCAAAACAAAATGAAGCAAATCGAAAAAAAAAATGCCCCATATATAATTTAGCAGACTTTGTTTTGAAAGAGGTGAAAATGAATATTCCATTTTCAAAATAACCTCCTGACCCAAAGATACTAATATTAACTTCTCCATATGAAAGTTTAACGCCACTTTCAACAATATCTCAATTTAATCGTGGTGTTCTGTTTTGTTGGTGGAGGAAGCCGTGGTAAAAAGAAAAAAAAAACAACTTCCGACCCTTCACCGAAACGTAGATTTAACATGCTTGATAATGTCCAAACGTTGTAATATCTTAATACTTAATTCGATAACCTCTCTTTTCCGAAAAACTAACTGATATAAGTTGATAGAAGGAAAATGTCAGGGCAAAATTTGTTATGTGAATAAGAATTAATTCATTTAACATTATATAAAATTGTCAGTGACCTTTCTAGATAAAATAAAAATATAAAGATAATCAAATTGAAAACGCGTTTGTTTCAGTCTTTTTTTTTTAATTTTCAAGTACACAAATTTCTAGTTTGGGTTATTTTTAGAATTTTACGCTACTGTGTAACACATTTCTCTATTCTAGAAAATGATATAAAATAAGGAGATGCGGTATGATCGCCAAAATAGACAACTATCTACTAGAGACCAAATGACGTAAATGTTTGCAACTATAGATCACCGTATGACAGACCCCCAACACGGAACAAAACCATTCCCGCATATAAAAGATAAGAAAGGCCCCGACATGACAATTATTTTAAAAATAAATTTCAAATAAACGAACGTTTTGAAAAAAGATTGATGTAGAGTAAAAAATCGGATTCGAATGTGATTTGATTCCTGTGGTTTTTTTTCTATTCATTTATTTTGATCACTTTGTAGACTTTCCTTGTAGTCGTTCTACAAAATATTAAGAAATGGGGGAACAACGATCTTAAACTTAATCGATCCCTACTATGACACAATGCAAGAATAATGATCGTGTTGTTTTGCTGGATCCTCTTCCGTATATTGCGGAATAAATTGTTAATATTTTATTGTTGAAAAATCATCTCAACATTACCAAACAAACCCATACATATAGGTAAGTAAACTATAATGAATGAATATCTGTTCTTTTTGAGATGGTCCCCACTATAGCGTGTAGTGGTATTGGTAGTTAACATCAGCGTCAAAATCGTATTGACATTCATAACACGTCTAGTACATATAAACATGATACAGTAAAATTACTATACATTTTACAGAAGACAATCGTTTCTAATATAACGAAGACTTATCTTTTACAAAAGACAATCGTTACTAATATAAAGACGACTTACCTTTTACAGAAGACAATCGTTTCTAATATAAAGAAGACTTATCTTTTACAAAAGACAATCGTTACTAATATAACGATGACTTACCTTTTAAAGAAGACAACCGTTTCTAATATAACGATGACTTATCTTTTACAGAAGACAATCGTTACTAATATAACGATGACTTACCTTTTACACAAGACAATCGTTACTGATATAACGATGACTTATCTTTTACAAAATACATTCGTTTCTCATATAACGATGACTTACCTTTTACAGAAGACAACCGTTACTGATATAACGATGACTATGAGGATTGTTGCAGCTACTATTGCTATGATGACTATTTCTGTTAAAAAAGTACTTTATTTCAAATAACTCTTTGATCATTTTTAAAATAATTCATTTAAACGGTTTTTATTTACAAGTTCTTTAAATATTACAAAGGCAGGACATATTTCTACTAGATTTCAAGTCATAATTTTCTATAAAACTCAATTCTACCAATCTAAACCGTTTGACTATAATACATCACACAAGTCAATCATTAATTATTGTTATTGCTTACAAAATTATTCACTCATAGTATTATATATATTTTTATCGAAACAAACTGATAATTCATGTCTTTGCTTGTAGTTATGATTAAAAAATCTAGAAGGTAAGGGCTATTATAGGATTAAACGCCTTTTTAAAGGAATTTATTGGTGTATAAACTCGACCAATTCACTCACAAACAATTAAAGTCCGAAGGACTTTTATGATATGTTTGTGAGTGACTTGGTACAGTTTATACACCAATATAAATTCCTTTAAAAAGGCGTTTAATCCTTATAATTCTTTAAAATTGGAGATAAGGAATTTATTTTTCCTCACTCGTAACCTCTATCACACGTAAATTGTATATTTGTGTCATTGAATAGGCCTGGCGCATGAATGTATTTGTTGGTTAACGCAAAAATATGTACTCCATGAAATTTGCAATCTGATAAAAAATAAACTACAAAAAATCCTATTATCATTGAAACGAATGGTTTGTGTTTATTATTTAATTTAACTATTAACGCAGATTGAAAATAAATTTTGTTAACGTCAATCCGGATTGTTTTATTATCGCCGCCATCTTGTTTACATTGGTTACGAAAAGAAGTTCGGTCAACGTCGTCTATCGAAAAATAAACAACGTCAAGAACAACTACCGGAAGTCCTCTCAACCAATCATATCAACGTATTCTCTAATTTGCAAATCATATAAGAATTATATAAAGTGAAACACTTAAAAGAAATATAGCGTATATATAGCTAGTTGGTCGTTACCTGAAACAACATCTATTTCATCTTTACCCGGTACATCTGAAGAAGGAGATTCTACAAGAACTGGAAATGTATTTTCCTGAATATCCCGAGAAGGAGAAGTTGTTTTTGGTACCATTTTGGATCTACCGGTAGTTTCCTTCAGAGCTGGAGATGTTGATCCAAGTTGAGATAAAAATGTACTTTTTTGTGAAGCGGAGTACGTAGATATAGTTATACCTTGAAGTGTATTACTTCGTAGAAATGAAGAAGTTTTATCCAATCTTCGAGCAAATGTATTAACTGGTGACAGTGTAGAAGACATTTTTGAAGGTGTATCAGAAGCCGTCTTTCCAACTTCAATACAAAGCCCGGGTAGACGTTTTCTACATCTACGGATTGATCTTTTAACATCACCATTTTGTCTTATTCTGGCAGCAACACAAAATTCAGGATATTCTGCTGCATCTAAGAATTCTAATCAAATATAGTTGTGGAATTATATTGCATCAATAATAAGTATATGGTGTAAACGAGAGGATAGACTCGAAGAATTTAAAACTATACAAGAGTTTTCTAGATATAGTCAATTATTTAAAAAAAAAAAATTAAGATGAAAAGGTAAAATCCGAATAAAAATGGACTAGAGGGTCCTTAAATACTTACTAGAGCTTTCTTACAATTTGACGAAAGGTACGTACGCTTGACGAATCATACGTAAGACATGTGTGAGGGATCCTTTATTTTGAATTATTCTTAAAATTAAACATATTTATGTAATCTGAATCAAGGCGATCATGGGACTAAGATTGCGTTTCTCCTCAATATTTGCCAATCAAGGATTAAAACACTGCATGCTACGACAAGTGTCAAAATGATAGTCGTGCAACATAGGAACGTACGATGTAAAAATATATATAAAAAAAACAGGGTGAAGGAGATAACTCAACAAAATTTGCTAAACACAGACTCGTCAGAAGAAGAAAAATATCCCGTAAAAAATGTGTGCTCAACTACACCCCCCAAAAAAAAATAAAAATAAAAAAAAAAATCTTTCTAAATTGTAAATTTTGAAACCCCCAAAATAGTAAAATCGAAAAAAATGACACTCAAAATATATAATGGGCGTCTTTTAATCATCCAGTTGTTCAATTGTGTATGTAAATGAACAAAACAAGATCCATAGTTATTTGATCTGTAACTAGAGCTCGATGGCGGATTTAGGAGTGGGAGCACCCGATCTGTATCTACTCGGCAGACATACTCCTAGCCTTGGTCTATTATATGCACAACTATGCCAGAGACAGATACGTTTTAAACTTCTGCGACACCTAAGTTTTCCGGTTTTTTTTCAGTACAATTTGTTGCTTGTTTTTCTTTTTTGTTTTTGGACCTCCAAACGTTTGTTATACAGTTTGGACTGTTTTGATTGTCTAAATCAAAGCTGTTTGTGAGGGTGTATGTGTGTGTTAATTATTCCCCTGGAATTGACATGGGATTTCACATGTTCGCTCGTGTTAACATCTTCTGTAAATGTTAAGTGCATCACTACTTGGTCCACAAGTAATAAATGATTTAAAACTAATTAACGGCGTTTAAAAGAATGAGATAGAATAAGTCGTGCATTAACTGAAAATATAACTAGTTTTAAACAGACTAAAAATCATTTGGGGAATACAAACGATCATTTAATTTTCAGAGGGGGGGGGTATAGGTTTTATTCCGTTTAACATTTGCTTCATATAATCGCAAGTGTCGCAATATTTTTTGTTTATCATTTAACCTTTTTATTATTGGAAAAACTTCATCCTTTTTTTATGTTTCCTTCTACCAGGTTTTTAAATACATTTTTCAATACATTGTAGTTTCTTTGTCTGGCAAATCTTGATGATCCCCGTTGACAATTTGATGATGACATACTCGTTAAAAAATAAAAATAATTATGAATTCTGTCATTAAATTAAGAGATTCATACTGCAATAATTTTATTAAGATGTTAATGGTTTAAACAAGAGTCTTATTTTAAGTCTCTGTTTAACATTTAAAAAAAGCATGCTTGAACAATTCCCGTGCAAATATGTGTAATTGTGGATAACATAATCAAGGTATCGGACGTAAGTCTATTTTAAACGATTTTTCTTTATTTTAATACAGATATCAAATTCGTGTTTATCTGCGATATGCTGAAATTTAAAAAGATACATGTTATTAAGAATAGAAGACCGTTTTATCGGATAAAATGTAGACTCCAACTTCCAAGTGTTATCGTGGGAATGTAAATTAAATGCATGCCTTTACCTTCGTTCGTACCTTTCGTCAAAATGTAAGAAAGCTCTACTACACGGTATGGATATTGCACATTGATGAATGCCGTACTGTGACTTATAGTTGCTTATATCGACGTCTTATGGTCTCTGGTGGATAGTTGTCTCATTGGCAATCATACCAAATCTTCTTAATTTCATATCGATAAACGTTAAGAATATTATAATAATTTTTCGTAAAGTTTATTTCACGTTTAGTCAAAGTTTGGTTGAAATTTAAAATAAAAAACAAAGTTTAGGAAGGATCATTATATATTTGTTCTATAATATTCAATTATGTTGAACTGAATGATAAGGCAGTTTTCAGTACGAAAATTTTTTTTTATAAAGAAAATGCCCTTTTTGATCTTTAATAAGTGTATATCCTTTAAACATGTCATTTGCTCAATATCCATTTTATTGTGTGTGGCGGTTATCTTTAACTGCACATTGGTATAATATTTTGAAACAGTTACGGTTTACAAAAGACTATCATATCATCATGCATGCCTACTATCAATTGAACACACACACAAAAAGAAAACCAAACTCTCTAAAATTCTGTTTGGGTATTTACCTTGACGGGACTATCAAACTCCTTTTTGCTGAAGTTGTCATATACGAATTACTCACATGCGACATGTTTTAGAGTTCTTAAATCTTTAAATAACAGAATGATGGTCTTATCTGTATTTTTATCAATTCTGCCGTATTCCCTATTGGCACATTTTTGATTGAATGTGATTTTTAATGACGGGTTACATGCATAGCAGGAGATGCTTACCCTGTGGATGCAACCGGTCTCGCTCCTTTTGGAGTTCATGCGGCTTCCTCAGTTTTTGTTTGTTACCTTGATTTGTCTCTTTTAAATCCATTTACCAGATTTGAACATTGGTAAACTACTGTCGCCTTAATTTACGAGAAAAATACTGGTTACGTGTAATATTGACAGGTTATATGTTGTAATGACATTTATTTTTCATTTAAGATGGATACAAAAAATCTATCTTATATTTTTGAAATGTATTTTATTATATTACAGTTCCATGTAGGACTCTTGCATTACTATCTATGCATACTATGAATCAATCCTGGTTGATCCAAGTGTTGTTGGCTTTGTCTTTGGTTTTCTTTTGTGAAAATTTAATTTTGACATCATAAAGTCTTCGAAGTTCTCCGGTTTCGACATTTCATCAATATGACAAGGAAGTTACAGTTTTCTTGCAGATCAATTAAGTGACCGTTAATGGTCACCTGAAATATAGCTTCAACCGGACGATATATAATATCAACTACACAATCGCTATGGAAACATTTCTCCATTGTGGACAATTAAATTTTAGATATTTAAAACGTTTGAACACATGGAATTATATCGTGTTAAAAATCCAAATTGGATGTTCAATTACAACATATGAAGACTGTCTTCCCGTAAACTCTTTCTGGTGGTATAGTAGGACTAGTTTCTGGCGTCTGGCGTCTGGCGTACAAAATTGTGTTCCTTGTATCTATGATGAGTTTATATACATATACTCACCTCTTTTTCGTGTCCATCGTTTGGTATTAGAAAGCCAACATGATTCTAAAACGTTTATTTTATTCATTTTGCCTCTAACTGAACTATAGCTTGCCAGGTTTTTGCAGTAACTAAAGGCATCGTTCCAATTAGATTTAGTTGTACTTACCAGACTGAAGCCAGTCTCATTGGCTGAAACAGTTTACATTTTAAAATTATTATTTGTCACGGTATTAT